CATTTACAGAAAAAGTTTGACCCCTGTTTTAGAATAAGATTAAAAGATTTGGTTTGGGATGGAATGTTTGAAATACAGTGAGAGAAGCAAGTGCTTCAAGCGTGAGGAAGAATCTGTAGGCCCTGGTGACAGATTGTACGTAGGGGGGATTTTGCTGTAGAAGGGTTAAGGATGCAGTGTCTTCATCATGGGTAGAATGATGCGGGAGGACAGACTTCCTGCAATCTGGGCATGGTGCAGGATTTTGGTGTCCTTGGCTAGAGACATCTAGGTCTGTCACCACTGGAAGGGCCTGGTAAGAATCCCTTACATGGGTGGCCTCAGGCCTGGGAGGCCCACCCAGGTCCTGGCCCTGCCTCCATTAGTGAGCCCCACAGTCCTGTTCTGTCCATCTGCAAGTGGTGGGTATCACGGTGCTCAACACTAGCACTCTGGAGAGATCCAGAGAGATTCAGAGCACACAAATTGATTCAGATCATCACTTAGAACGTTTTGGATGGCAAGTCCCTAATCTCTGTCACCACACTGCACGGAGGTTGATTTTCAATTTACCTTTTTTGTTCTCAATCTTAGATGTTTTGATTCTTAATTCAGAGCATTCATTTCAAGTGGATTCAGAGATTCAAATCTGCTGATAAATTCATGTTTGTTGAGAATTTTTGGAGGGAGGAGGAAGATGTTGTCAGCTAAGCTTTTGAATAATGTCTCCTTTGACATTTTAAACTCAAAGTGGGCTGAACTGCACATCAACACGTGTAGGCATTATGTGACCGAGACGTAGCATGTGTACAAATAGACTGTGTGTATCTGAAAAATAGAACCTGGAAGAAAGGTAATAGAGAAGCAAGGGAAAGGGGCTCAGAAATGAGGGATCTTTTCTGCTAATTTCTTTATATGTCCTGCTTCCTGGTTTCATGGAGTAGGGTAGGAGGAAAAGGAGTATTTATTTATCTACCCTAATGAGGCCTGACGCTAGGTAATACACACACACACACACACACACACACACACACACACACACACACACACCATTTTTATGTATGGAAACACAGAGTCGCAGAGAGGTTATGTCTTTTTTTTTTTTTAAAGATATTTATTTATTTGACAGAGATAGCAAGCACAAGTAGGCGCAGTGGCAGGCAGAGGGAGAGGAAGAAGCAGGCTCTCCTCTGAGCAGGGAGCCAGACGTGGGGCTCGATCCCAGGACCCTGGGATCATGACCCGAGCCGAAGGCAGCCACTTAACCGACTGAGCCACCCAGGTGCCCCCCACCCCTCCCTTTTTTTTTTAATAGCCAGTAGACTAGTACATTCATAGGTGGACTACTACTCAGTGAGTGATACAAAGTAATGAGCTATTTTTATCTTTAAGATTTTATTTATGTGTCAGAGAGAGAGGGAGAGAGAGCACACACAAGCAGGGAGAGTGGCAGGCAGAGAAAGAGGCAGACTCCTCGCTGAGCAAGGAGCCCGATGTGGGACTCAGTCCCAGGACCTTGGGATCATGACCTGAGCCGAAGGCAGACGGTTAACGACTGAGCCACCCAGGCGCCCCAAGAGGTTAAGTCTTTTGCCAAAGTTTATTATTAAGTGGAACCATAATTCAAATTCAGTTCCTTCTTCTTCTGAATTCCAGACTCTTACAACTCTACTTGATTTGCTTGCTTTTCTTGGTTATCTCTCCCTCTTCCCCAGCATTTACTATTATAATGAGGCTACTTTTTTTGTATATAATGAGACCACTTTTTAAGTAACTGGTAGTTGATTTGCTAGACTAATATTTTATGCCTTTTTTTTTAAGTTCTAGATGTCAGTCCTTCCCTTCATCCCTTCCTCAGATGTTTGTTAAGTACAGGCAGCGTGCCAGGCCCTGGGGATCGAGAACCTAGGTATGGGCAGTGCCACTCAGAGTATGATCTGTGGACTGTTCTTGGTCCCTGCATTCATCAGGGTTCTCCAGAGAAATAGAGGAAGAGGGCGTGCGTGTGCACATGTGCATGTGTAAAGAGATTTATTATAAATAATTGGCTCATGCAGTTACGAGATGGGCCAGTCCCAGGATCTGCAGGGTGAGTTGGCAAGCTGGAGACCCAGGAAAGCTGATGATATAGTTCCATTCAAAAGGATGGCAGGCTCCAGACCTAGGAAGAGCCAGTGTTTCAGTTCAGATCCAAAGGCAGGAGGAAAAGAAAGAATATCCCAGTCTGAAGAATGTCAGGCAGGAGGCAGTCTCTTACTGAGGGGAAGGTCAGCCCTTTTGTTCTGTCAAGGCCTTCAGCTGATTGGATGAGGCCCACCCACATGAGGGCGGGCAATCTGCTTAATGTCCTGATTCAAATGTTAAGCTCCTCCAAATACACCCAGAATACTGTTTGACCAAATATCTGGGCACCCCATGGCTCAGTCAAGCTGACACATAAAATGAACCATCACAGTCCCCAAACTGCTCTGCAGCAAGGGAAGTATGAAAGGTAAAAATTGACATTTAAAAGTTAGAAGGAGCGCTCCTGGGAGAGACAAGAGCCCACAGGACGTCACTGGGGTGTGCAGACCACCTCTAAAAAGGCTGGCCTTTCGCTGTCCTAACCCCACCCCTCTCCACCCGGAGGGCCAGAACAAGCCAGACAAAGAGGTCAAGAGACAAGAGAGAGGAGTAGTTCAGGAACAAAAGCAGGAGTCAGGATGAATGAAATTAGAATGCGCCGTGAACATGGCTGAGCAGCAGGCCCCTCTTGTGGTGGAGCAGCACTGGGATCTGTCAGTCGGGGTAGAGACACAGGGTCCCCGTGCACATGGAGCCAGGGAAAGTCAGAGTGGAGAGGGCCTGCAGCACAGCTCCCGGACGTCCCCTTCCAGAAGCGGAACCTGGCCAAGGAAGAGGAAGGCGGGGCTGCCTTGGGATAGCCTACCTTTAGAACAAACCAGAAATCCCAGGTCCACTGTTGATTGAGTACTTCCTGTATGCCAGGCGCAGGGCACAGCATATGTGTTGCCTTTCCTAACATTGGTTCCCTTCCTTGACACCTGGCATTTACTATTTTGTGTGTTGTCTTCGGTGACAAATCTATAGAGCTTTAAAGGGGGGAAGACACCTGCAGACCTTTAAGAGCTAGGTTTGGTTAAAGCCATCTGGGGTCTAAAGAAGAGTAGACTGTTGATCTAGCATTGCCTCCTTTGCCACCCCTGGAATTGTAATCGCTTGGGGACTACATAATTATGCCTTTATTTATAAGCACGTAATCAAAGAATTATAGGCATGCAAAATGGGGGGCTCTCGGGGGAGGAGTCAAAGGAAGTGATGTGGTCTGCTCCTCCACTTTGCCTCCCGATGAACTTGGACCTGCCTGAGGCTGAAGAGAAGAAGGTTCAGAGATGCCACGGGTCAAAAATAAGCCAACGGTTGTTGGCCCTTTTCTCCCATATACTAGAGAACAGCCCTGTGTTGAGAAAATGTTCAGCCTTTGACCCCCTAATTTATGTCATCAATGTATCCTACCCCAATACCACCTCCTCTTATTGGAATTATTGCCCACCGGGAGGCAGAGTGCTCAGAGCTTTGTATTTCCGTATCTTAAACCTCCCATCATGATTGTGAGGTTAGCATTTCTGCTCCTGTGTCAGAGCTCCGAGCATTTAAGTAATCCCTCCAAAAGAACAAATTTCTGGTTCCCCCTTTGTTGTGAATTTTCCAGAGCTTCTGGGACCCTGGTGTATTTCCAGAGCTTGCTGGATTCCTCCCCAAATGTCCCCAGGGTTTTTTTTCATAAGGACGAAGACCCCACAGGCCTCAGAGCATCTGTAGCCATAACTCTGAGCATAAAAGCGGGAGCAGGGCCCCCTACAGTCATGGAGACCTTAGTTGCAGTCCTACTGCACCACAGTGGCAAAGCTTAAATGTTTCGAGTCTGTTTCCTTATCCGTAATGGAGACATCAGTTGCTACCTGCTTTGGCTGTGATCACCCAAGACATTATCAGCGTGAACTACCCAGCACTGCCCACATCTGTGGCAGACCCCACACAGAAGCGTCACTCTGCCCGCTGCCGGAAGCTGGATGCCCATCTCCTCCCACCCTTGCTTGAAGGGTCGATGGCAGTTGAGCAAAACACAATTGCCGCTAGTGGCCTGTTTGTTTCCATCCTCAGTGGCACTGATTTGGTTTTTACCAAACAGGGAAACAGGTTTCAAAAGCCGGGGTCGGAGCTTGTGATTGGCCAGCTCAGTGACAGTACAGCCCTCATCAACCTGTGATTTCATATACCCACACACTCCGCCTCGGCCTTTGATCTGTGGTCCCGGGCAGTGGAATTCAGTGAGTCCGAGATGCCACATTAATAGGAGAGGGCCAGGAGCTCAGGCGTTTAACCCCAAGGCGATGAAGGGGGAGAAGAATGAGTCATGTTTGTGAAGGCTCACAAGACACGTCACAAGGTTCTGGGCAGAGGCCGGGGCAGTACATCGGCACAGGTGAAGCCTACGGGGTGTAATTCATTGCCTTCTTTGATCCTCAAGTTTTGTGAGTCACAGAGATGCTCTGGGACGGTTTGGAAGCTCAGTGGGATCTGGGCAGGAAGAAGAAGAACTCGAAGTATGAAAAAAGAGAAATTGCAGATTTTTTGGGGCAGGCAGCTAAGAGGGGATAATTTTCTAGAGATGTCGTTTTTGCTTGGTCGCCTTGAAGGATCCCGGCATTTCGGCTGCACAGGAGCAGAGAGGAGGGACAGCTTTGGCTGTGTCCTGTCCCTGGTGCACCTGTATACAAGGTGTGACATGCTAAGTATCTTTGGGAAATGGGGATTTTACATTAATAAAATTTTAAAAAAATCCATAGTTCTCTGTAGGGCTGATTATGAAGCTGTTTAAGTGGAGCATGTACAGGTTCAGGCCTAAGACAGCCCTGGGTACAAATTCTGACTCCACTGTGTTCTGGTTGTGTGACGTTGAGAGACCTCCTATCCTTTCTGTGTATGATATAAATGGAGTGTTGCTGGCAACAGTGACTGCTTTTCTGGGAACACCTTGAAGTTAATTACACTCCTTTCTTCTCCTTTATTGCACTTGATTATTTGACTCTTGGCTTGGACACATGTATCCACCCTGTGGCATCTATCAGATGGTATGATACGTTACCACAAAGATAAGTATGGCCTGTGCTTTGTTCTCATTGAACTACCAGCCTTCACAGGAAACATCTGCTAAAACAATTGACCAAGTACAGTATGGTAGTTTGTTTTTCAATAGTGATATGTACAAAAATAAAATGTGTTAGAACAGCCTGAAGATTTTGCCTGCACACTGAAGAAGGCTTCCCCGGGAGCTGAGGCTTCCGAAACAGGGTTTTGAAGGATGAATAGGAGTTCCCATAGGAAGGAATAAATAAACCTTGTCATTATTATTGTCTGTTCTTTTTACTCCTTTTTGCTCTCTTCCACTTTCTCCTTTTCCTCTTTCCCCTCTACCTGCTAGTCCTTCCTTCACATTCCTATTTTATGGAGAACAACAATGTCCACCTGGAAATGTTCCAAGTAGGGAAGGGAAGAGGGTGTATTTAATTGGGAAACATTATGATTGTCTTCTCTAAACAGCATGTGCATTTTTATCACCGCAGTTAAGTCCTTCTGTTCTCAGCTTTGTCCCCAGGTCAGTCTGGATGCATTTATTTATCACTCTGTTGCCACCCACTTGCCCTGGTCAGTGGGATTGTGAAAGGAGCCTCCCGCGTAGAGACAGATGCGTGGGGTGTCGGGCGGGGCTCGCGGGGTGTTTCGCCCCGGCTAACCTGGTCTTTCCCCCGCCCTCCTCCCCCAGATGGGAAGCCAGTGTCCCTGTCGCCGCCGGAGTCGCAGCCGCACAGCCCCCGGTACGCCGCCGCCGGCCAGCGGGAGCGCGAGAGCCTGGAGGTGCGCGTGCGCGAGGTGGAGGAGGAGAACCGCGCGCTGCGCCGACAGCTCAGCCTGGCGCAGGGCCGTGGCCCGGCGCACCGCCACGGCAACCACTCCAAGACCTACTCGGTGGAGGAAGGAACCGGGGACAGCGAGAACCTCCGCGCCGGCATCGTGGCGGGCAACAGCTCCGAGTGCGGGCAGCAGCCGGTCGTGGAGAAGTGTGAGGTAAAGAGCATCCGGAGGCCCCCTGGCCCTCCGCCCTCGCAGGTGCCACCGGGCAGCCGCGCCAGGTACCCGGAAAGGGCCGGCATTCTTGACTCGGGCCCGAATGCGAATCCGGCACCGCCCCTAACCTTGCTGTGTGTGGCCTGGCCAGTCCTTTAGCCTCTCTGAGCCTTGGTCTTCCCATCTGAGAAATGGGCGCAAGAGGGCCTCCACCACAGAGATGTTAAGAGGAGCAAAGGGATGGAAACTACCGCTTGTTTCTTGGCGGTTCATTGTGACCCACTCGGGATTTCTGCACCTAGCTGTCATCCATCCTGGGGATGCTTCTTACTTATACTACAGTGTGAGTGGCGCACATGGAGTTGTGGCCCTGTTGGGTGGTTGCCTTGGTCTCCTTCTTACTTTATAATCAGCTCCTGGAGTTCAGAACCAGAGACTTGTTGCCTCCCTGGGGCGGTGATTTAACTTTTGTGGCTTCATATCCTGCGCCCCCCTCCCCCCCCCCGCCCCCCCGCCTCAGAGTGTGCTTTCTGTGTTAGTAATTCTTTGGACATCTGGAAAACTTACCACTCCCTCTCCCTCCCATCGTCATCCTTCCCATTTGTACATCCGTGCTTAGGTCTGCCCTGAGCACACATACACACACGCACACACACATGCTCACATTCTGCTTCTTCCAGTTCCCCAGGACAGGAATTAGAGCAGCCCTGTTAAGAGCAAAGCCTTATGTGACCCAGACAAGCCTGAGTTCATATCCCAGTTCTGGTGCTTTCTGCTGTGGGTGCTTGAGCAAGTTACCTAATCTCTCTGAACTTCAGATATCTCATCAATAAATTTGAGAAAAGAAGTTCCTGCTTCATGGAGGATTTATGAGAAGTAGATGGGATGGGTCATATAAAGCCACAGACAGTGCCTGGTACATAGTATGTTCTCAATTATGGTATTTTTTGAGTTTTTTTTTTTTTTTTTTTTTTTGAGAGCATGTATGCGAGCAGTGGGGATGAGGGTTGGGCCCAAGTGGGCTCCACACTCAGCACAGAGCCTGATGGCAGGGCTCGATCCCACAACGCCAACACCATGACCCAAGCCTAAATCAGGAGTTGGACGCCCAACCAACTAAGCCACCTAGGCGCCCCATCAATTATGGTTAATTTTTATTTTTAGTTATCTACATTACCTGCTGCTGCTTTATTCCATTTCCTGGGCACATTGTCAGAATGTGGGACTTCAAACCTCCCTGAAAACACCTGGCGGACTATAATATGTTGTTCATGTGAGGGTGGTTATTATGTTGCTGATACTATATAGTCTGTCACAAGGGAATGGGGGGCTTACTAAGCAGCATAGACTCCATTCTGGAGAAGGTCAGCAGTGAATGAGGAGAGCCCCCTGGGTCTAGTAGAATTTCTCATGGCTTCTCAAGCCTGGTTGAGGTGTGGAGAGGTGGACAGTGGTGGATGGAGCCTGTCCAGTGAGGAATGGACATGTGAGTATATAAAATGTGAAGTAAAGCATTGTCCTAGCAAGAAAGAATGCAGGACATGGTGAGTTGATCAGTCTGGAAGTCCAGAGAACCTGGGCCGGGAAATGGTTGCACTGGATTATCATTCATTCTTTCGTTCAGCAGACAGTCCCTGAGCCTCTGTTACGTGTCTCACACTGTTGGCTGTGCTGGGAAATATCAGTGAACAAAAAAAGAGACAAAACTCCCTTTCTTGTTCTCCTGTTGAGGTGGGACATGGAGAAAGAGATGCTCAAGAAATTGAGAAATTCAAACGTCAGGAGGTGTTAAATGCCGTGCCTTGGTTCAGCCCTGCCCACATGCCAGGTCCCATCCATTTATTCCTCCACAACCATCGCCAGTGGCCTGAGGTCCTAAACGTCTCTTTCTTACATCTTCAGCAGTGCTAACAGACTCCCCTGCTTCTGGCTGGCTTGGGAGGACCCTAATTTGGGGAACTTCCCTTCTTGCCTGGGAGAAGGCTTGCTGGCATTCTTGCAGGTTCTCTGCTCTCTGGTTATGGCCCTGGTGTCCGTTCAGAGTGGGCGACAGAACCCTGCCCACTAGGTGGGACGGCCCAGGGGGAGGAAGTGTATTTACGTTATTATGAGTCAGACTGACTCAAAGCACTGACTGAGAATCAAGGAGGTAAAAAATGGAAATGAGAAAGGAAAAAAGGAGTGGGGGAGACAGGTGGAGCAGTGGGAGAAGGTGGGGGTGGGGACTTTCTCTTCCTACCACGGTCTGTCTCCCCAGTGCTGTTTCCTGAGAGACACATCCTATTTCTAAAGAGGGCTTCTGCCCGGAGCGCCCCACAGAGTAGCGTAGACAAAACCGCTCCTAAAGCTGGGAGACCCGAACCTAAATCCTGGCCCCATGCCCACGTAGTGCCCTACGTGGCACTCAACAAGTTATATCATTTTTCCATGTCTCGGTTTCCTCGTTTGTAAATTACCAAGAAAAATCAAGTTCCTGCCTGATTTGTACTACGTCAGTGGTGACCACAGATATTAGAGCCGGAGGCAAACTCTAAAAGAGTTGTTATTGGCATTAGGTTTCATGGTGAAGTATCAAAATATCCCACCTGACAGTAGCTTTGCATCTTACTTCTCCTTATGCTTGAAAAGTCTGGAGGCCTTTTTCAATAGGGATGTCCATTTTGGGGACGCGGGCTTCGGTGATGTTTCACTCAGCTTACTTGCCTGGCGTTCCCAAGGTCATCTTGTCCATGATGACTGCCACAGCTTTGGTCCTGTCTCCACATTCCAGCTGACAGGAAAGCCGTGGTGTTAAAGTGGGGCACGCCGCCTCCCTTTCATAACACGTGTTAGACACATCACAATCTGTTCCTCTTGGGGCACACTGACAGAAGAACTTCCCTGTAGGACTACCAGGAGCTGCCACCTAGCTGCAAGGGAGCCTGCAAAAGGTAGGTTTTTATTCAAGGAAGCCATGTTTTCTGCTAACAGTTTGGAGCGCTGCTTCTAGAACAGATGTCATGGTTACAGTGAACATTCTTTATCACATGGGCTGTGCCCAAACTTGGTGGTCAATTAGAATTACATACCAAAAATGCATATTCATGGGACCCACCCTAGACCTACTCATCAAGAATCTCTGGGTGTAAGTTGCAAGAGCATGAGCATTAAAAAAAAAAACAAAAACAAAACTGTGCAAGTGATTCTGAGATAGTAGGGGTTGTTTGAAAGCCACTGCCTGAAGCCACAACCCAAACAATGGGGTGCTCTTCATGCCCGTTCTCTTTGAGAGATGAAGTAGCAATATAGGAATTCAGACCTGGGGATTGTTGATTCTTCTCATAATTTAGTTTTTTATCTTTTGCACCTGAGAATTAAAGTTTCCTTCGTTTTTCTTCTCTTTGCCTGTCTTGATAATGTTATTTCCTAGACCCTTGAAGTTAGTTTTGGTAGAATTGTCTGCGTTGCAACCCTGGTCCTGTTCCAAGCCACCACAGATAAATTTGAAAGTCTTGATCTGCTGGCAGCTTATTTCGAGGTGGTCTCCTCTGGGGACACCTTGACCTTGAGATGCTGACTTCATACCCATTCCAGTGTAATGCTTTCTCTGTCTCCATTGCTTGGCATCTTTAAGGATTTTAGTGAAGAAGCCATAGAAGCAAACAAGAAACGTCAGGCAGCGAAGTCAAAATAGAAGCCTCCCTTCATCGAGACACTTGGCGATTACAAGTGCCGAAGCCGGTCCTGACGCCCTGTCAGAGCTCAGCACCTCATCACAGAGGACGTTGTCATCCTCCCTCATTGCACTGAAACTTCTCTGGGGTATGACAAGTATTTCTGAAAAGTCTTCTGTAATGATGCCCAGGCTGTCAGCCGAGATATCTGGTGATGGAAACAATGGGCCCTCTCCAGTCCTGGTGCCCTCTTATCGTTCTTAATTATGTGGCCTTCAAAGAACTGTTCTATTCTTGCCTTTCTCTGTTGTCAGGGCAATGGTGTTTCAGCAACAGACTGGTTTCTGCATGCTATGGAACTTCTGCAGCAGAGTCATCCTCTGTGATATCTGCTTGGGCCTGCGGGTGTCTGGATAGGTGTACTTTTCTTGCACTTCTGGTTCTGGTCCGTTCTAGTATCAGCTCTGCTACAGCAGAAAAGTCACTGGGACTGGGGTCCGAATTCCTGACTGGGAGTCTTTACTTTGTCAGTCACTAGTCGTATGACCTGGGGTAATTCAGCGACTTTCTTAGAGTCTGTGTCGTCATTACAAAAATGAGAATTTATAATCTGCTCTTCCCAGTGCAGTTGTGAGGATGAAATGGGCTAGCAGGTGGGAAACCAACTCTGTAGGAGCATCACTTACTCTGCGTGTTCCAGTTACCTAATGCTGCCTAACAAACACCTAAAATGTTGCAGCTTAAAACAACACAGGTCATTTTATTAGCTCTCATGGTTTTTTTGGGTCAGGGATTTGGGAAGGGCTTTGGTGTGCAGTTCTTATTTGGAGTCCCTCATACACGTGTTGTTAGTTTGTGGCTGGAGCTGAACAGTGAGGGCTGGGGCTGTGGGCGCTGACACAGCGTCCCTCTTCCCTGTCATAGACTCGGGGCCTCTCCATGTCCGTCTCTGTGGCCAGCTTGAACTTCCCTACAATATGGCGGCCCCAGGGCACTAGGCCGCTTCCCTGGCCGCCGAAGACTAAATACAAGTGTTCCAGTGACTGAGGCAGAACAGAAACATTTTTTATGCCCTGGCCTCAGAGTCACATAGTGTCACTTCTGCTGATAGTGAAATCTTTTCATTGGAAGAGGCTCAAAAGCTCACCCAGTTTCACAGGGAAAAGTACATACCCCATCTCTCAGTGGGAGGAATGCCAGAGAATTGGCAGATGTCCTTGAATACAACAACAATTGATGCTGTTACCATGGGAGGTCAGGTGAATGGTGCATTCTCATGTGAGACCACCATTATGGAAGTCTGTCTCTCCTCCTCCGTCCTTTGAGCTTCATTTCTTGGTTGTAATG